ACGAAACCTCATGCGTCTCAAAGAAAGGCAGCACCCAAAAGACATCACGAATTGCGGAACATAAGCCTTCACAAAAGGTCTCACGTCAGTATCCGAGATGGGCAACGGTTTAGTCTTACCAAGTCTATGAAACGGCAGCCTACGATTGCTCGAGACTGGTCGCCCATTCGCAAAAGATTCGTTGCCTCCGTCGCGTGCTTGAGCACCGCGTTGATCGGTGTCTTGGTTGGAATTTATGCTGGTCTAGTTCCGTCAATGCAATATTATATTGCAGACTTCAACCACTACACGATTCTTGGCAATGTTGGGTTCTACCTGGGAATGGCACTTTCAAATTTCCTGTGCTGGCCGTTACCGTTGCTACATGGTCGCAAGCCATACATCGTGTGTAGTTTGTGTGTTGCTATGCCACTGCTCTTTCCACAGGCTATTGCAGTTAGCGTCCCTCGATCTCCATACACAAGTGTTTGGAGGTGGGCACTACTTCTACCGAGGGCTCTCATGGGTTGTGCTTTGGGTTTCGCCAATATGAACTTCCATTCCATACTAACTGACCTCTTTGGTGCATCTTTGATGAGCAGCAATCCTCATCAGGAAGTCGTTGATCGTTACGATGTAAGAAGACACGGAGGTGGCCTTGGTGTATGGCTCGGAATCTGGACATGGTCCTTCATCGGTTCACTCGGAATCGGCTTTCTAGTCGGTGCCATAGTCATTGACAACCTGCAACCATCGTGGGGACTCTACATTAGCATTATGCTTATCGCGGTCGTCCTCCTTCTGAACGTCCTCTGCCCTGAGGTCCGACGCTCAGCTTGGAGGCGGTCCGTAGCCGAAGTCGGGACCGGTTCAGGAGTATCCCGGAGGGTTGCTCGGGGTGAGGTCATGATGCATCGTGTCAAGGACGGCCCTAAATGGTGGGGCCAAGAAATGTATCACGGAATAGCCTTATCTCTCGAGATGCTCCGCCAACCGGGTTTCGTTGTGATGGCACTATACTCTGCGTATATATATTCTCAAGTTGTGTTGGTCATTGTCGTAAGTTGCTCTAGCATTTCACAAACTCGTGCCATTACTGACGCCCATAGCTTCTGGGATCTCTGACATCCAGGTACTATCGCTATAAATCGACATACGTAGGAACCGTGGTGTCGTCTATCGCGATTGGCGCGCTTCTAGCAGTGCCATTCCAGATGGCAAACCTATTCTCTAGAGCTCGTTCTACGGGTCCATTGACGAACAGTATGACCTTTGACAAGAGACTGACGTGGACTTCCCACCTCGTTCGTCGAGCGATATTTGTCATTGTGCTTCCCATCACTGGCATTCTCTATACTATCGTCTCCTCTGGCCCTCCTGTACATATTGCCTTCCCTTGCATTTTCGCCTCTATGATCGGATTCTTGTCATGTCTTGCCATAGCTGAATGCAATGGTATGCTGATGGAGGCATGGGACACGTCCGACCTCCAACCGGGCATGACCGGTCGCTCCAGATCAGGAAAGGATAATCTAAAACGGACCAATTACTCATCTTTTCCTCGGGTTACCGCTGGGTGGAATCTTATCCACAGTGTTGGTTTCATTGCAGCTGCGGCAGCGACTTGGGTCGGCGGGATAGCTACGCGGAGTCTAGGGCAGAGGGCTGCAACAGGAGTTGTGGCGTCAGCTTTGTTTTTGCACTCAATCTTACTTCTAGGTGTGTTCACTCGGTTCAAGCACGTCCAGATCATTCCCAATTCGAAAAGCTTTGAGATGGACAAATGGACCAAAGAGCGGAGAGACAGCGTCCGCCGCCGCGCTTCTGCAATCGCCACCGCCAAAGCCCACGGTCTTCAAGATATCTCCGAAATTCCGGAAGAAGACGTAGGCTAGAGGCCTATTATCCTTGGAAACCCGTCGGAGAAATTTCGTCGTATGAATATTCTCGAATTGGGTTCTCTTACTCGATGGAGCGAGATCCGCAAGAGGAACCGTTTAATTGACCAAGGCGTTCATCTAAACAGACAAGTGGTTGATCTGGCTCGGGACGAAATTGGGCGTCGTGGTAACCATGGGGTAGAGAGATTCGGAGAAATTGTGCGGAAAGTGAGTAAGAGGAGTATGAGGAGCAGACGCAGCCGCGACAGTGACGAGGACATTACGCGAGTCGAGCTGCAGGATGTCAGACCACTGGGACCAACAGGAGCCGGACTTGAGCATCATCATACCGAATTACCTCCTGAAGTATATTTCGAGCACGAATGCATCATGGGCCAGACCTTGCCGGAAGAAGCGGAGGAAGCCCCATCCACAGACAGCGGATCAGATGATGAGTATGATGCAGGCCACTTGCAAGAGCACTCCTCTCATATGACTTCTAAGGTTCAACCGTACGCCGGCTTCAAAAAACCAAGCTTACGAGGCGCTGGGGCTGGCACGGATGACTATGTGATCGACATGGAAATTGCTCGAGGTGAACACGCCTCTCATGCAGAAGCAAAAGTGAGACCTGCCGATCCAAGAGGTTCGGAGCACAGAGAACAGCACGGTGCACATATCACAAGCAAGGTCAAGCCAGCCGACGTGGAGTTTGGGAATCTGGCGCAAGAGCACGGGGCTCACGCAGAAGCGAGCAAAGTCAAGCCGGCACATGTAGAATTCGAGGACGTCGACTTGGATGATAAATCTGGTCGCAGGGATTCGAAGAGAAAGCAAGATTAAAAATGGATCGCAGGTATTAGGGAGATGCCATTGATAATTCCGAAAACGAAGTAGAGAATGAACGGAAGTACCTATACACAGACAATTGAAATTGATCTATCTACCTATCAAAATTTGGTCATTTTTTCACTTCAAAGTATCTTGAGGTGAAATGTGTAGATGTTTGCTACGAAGTAGAATCTTGTAGTGATCCTGTGGGAATGCCTCGATTGTGACATACTTGAGATTAGATATGAATTTATAGAGCGTATATTCGCCAATAAGAGTTCTCTTTCTAGATATGCGAATAGTGGCATGTAGTTAAGATAAATATGCATCAATTGAGCTGTTAAACCGGACCTCTTTTGAGGTAAAATCAAGGTCTTCGATCTCGTTCCTCTCAACACTACGCAAAATGTAAGCAACGCAAAATATAATTGGCTCTTCGGACTTTATGATGCATACTCCTGTCGCACTTGCTAGATCGGGTCTAGCAGCCAATATTCACCACTCGACTCTCATTTACATCATCTAGGTAAATCATTTACAATCAGCCGAGGCGGCCAATATCTAAGACCAGGCGTCATAATGAAACTCTACGCCATCGGAGATCTCCACCTCAGCTACGAGTACAATAGAAAGGCACTCGAGGAAATCACGCCGCACCCCGAGGATGGCCTTATCCTGTGCGGCGACGTCGGCGAGTCGGCCGACCACCTGTCACTCGCTTTCACCGTCGCGAAGCGCAATTTTAAAGAGGTCTGGTGGTGTCCCGGTAACCACGAGCTGTACACTATGGGCTCGAGCCCCCGCCCGCATCTGAGGGGCGAGGCGAAGTACCGAAGGTGCGTGGAGATCGCGCAAGAACACGGCGTGCTCACGCCCGAGGACGAGTTCGTGGTCTGGGATGGGGTAATCGTGTGCCCTGTCTTCACGCTCTACGATTACAGCTTCCGGCCTAAGGACGTCACGAGGGAGGGCGCACTCAAGTGGGCCGAGGAACGCGATACCGTCGCCACCGACGAGTTTCTGCTCCATCCGGACCCGCACCCGACGAGGGACGAGTGGTGCCACGCGCTCGTCGAGAAGTTCGAGAAGAAGATCGAGGAGGCGAGAGCGAGGAATCCCGGGCTGAAAACTGTGCTTGTGAATCATTGGCCCCTGAGAGAGGACCTTGTGTTTATTCCTCGCGTGCCCAGGTTCTGCCTCTGGTGCGGCACGACGTTGACGATGGACTGGCATACCAAGTTCGATGCGAAGGTCGTCGTTTCTGGACACTTGCATGTCCCGCGCACGGATTGGAAGGAGGGTGTGAGGTTTGAGGAGTGCAGTTTGGGGTACCCGAGGCAGTGGCAGGATGTCAGGACGACAGGGAAGAATATCAATGATTTGCTCCGCGAGATCTTGCCTGGTCCGGCGCCGCCCCCCGTGGGCGAGGCGGAGACGCAGTGGAGGCGTTGGGGATAGCCGGGTTATGGTGGCTACCTACGCAATGTATAGAAAGGGGAGAGCAAGAATGCGAGGGAGTAAGAGAATGGAAGAGTCGAGTGATGTGCCATGATTCAGGGATGAGATTTTCATAAGGTATCCTGGCGAGCTGAGTACACAGGGCATGGTGTGGTTTCACGGAAACGGTGATGTATGTGCGGTCCAGGTTATGAAGTCATGACGATAGGTAGCAAAGAGCAGGGCATGATAAATCCATGGCCGTTAAGGTTGGTTCAGCATCATAAATCTGTTCATGAAAGACAGTTACATCAATTGGGGCCATGCTTTGTTAAAATAGAACTGCATACGCAGGGAGAGGAGAGTTGGCTCATAGGGACTCTCGATATAGAACACCAGACAGTTCATTGACTTTTCTTCACACCCCTTTTCTCAATTGATTCTGTCAACACTCAACCTTTTTTTAAGTCTCCAATCAAAGATGAGTTGGGGACCTTTAGACTTGACTACTTCCTGTTACGTAATACTTCATCATGACGAGACAACTTAGTACTATATACAAGTCACTTATACTATATCTTATACATAGTAATTGATAGAATATGAGCTATCAATTTCTCCTACATACGACACCTCGCTTCGTTTATACTCGCAACTTTTCCCCCTTACGAGCTAAGGAGCCCCACGAGAGCTCTCCTATAGGAGTAGGCCGGTGGGTCTCCTAAGTCTAGTGTCCTGCAGAAGTCCGAAGGCCGCAGAGCTAGTCGGGAACGCACATCTCGCCTAGTTTCATATGCTTCTTTAACCCTATGAAAATTCTATGTGTCAAGTTCGGATTCGTCCGTCCAGCCTACCATAGACTGAGAATCTCGGTCCTCCGTGGCGCAATTGGCTAGCGCGTCGTGAGTTCTTCCCCAAGTCTTAGACTATCGTGAGGGTAGCCGTTGTTTGCTAACTAGAGTTATATAGTGACTGTTAATCAGGAGGTTGACAGTTCAAGCCTGTCCGGGGGAGATGATTAAGTCTTCTGTTTCTTTTTTTGCTCTTTGTGGGCTTAGGGTTGACGTCTAGATGTCTTTGAGCTTTATTTTTGGAAAATATTTTTCAAAAATTTCGTACCCCCACAAGAGCCCTAACCGTTTTTCAGTTGAACGAAAGGTACCTAAGTAACGCGAAAGTTACCAGGTAACACATGATAATTTACGAGTGACTGGTCCCAGGGCCTCAACAATTCTAAGTATGTGCAGGTACTTACCAGGTAGGTACTCAGCCGTACTTCGTGCTCACAGCATACCATGTGTTGAAATATCTACGATCAATGTGATATCAAAGACCTTGATAGATATTCAATCACCATCTTAATTACTCAGCCCTCGCTTATTCGAAGGTCGTGAACAGGGTTCGGGTGCAAGAACCGCGCTGCGGTCATCAACGCCTCATCAGCCGTCCCTGACATAAACGGCAGCTGGATAACGTTCGGGGTTCGTGTGGAAGCAAACCTACCCACCTACATACCTAGGTCAAGCGAAGCTAAGATTAGACAGCTTGGGATAGATGTTGGGCCAATACAGTCTTTCACCTCAACGTTATCTCGGGATTTGGGTTCTTGCCATGTCAGTAGAAGCAAGGGACCTCTGATCCATTGGTAGGTTTACGTGCCCGACGCGTATCATAGTATCATCTAGATCTGTCAATATTCTTGGCAAGGAGATTTTTTCTCAAGCTATGTGATCAATTGAGAAGGGATGACGCTGTAGTTACGCACAGGTAGCTAGTATTAATAACTGCAGGGCTCTGATAGGACCCTGCCTTTGTTTGACCTAGGTAAGGAGACCTGTCTAGCATCTAGTTACGATTCTAGGCCCTCATTCATGAAGTACAATTCTCAACTTTATGTTAAATCCATATTGCTTTAGAGATTTCGGAGTATTTAGTCCTGTTCCTAGTCGGATACTGCAGTTGAGTATTCCCATTGGTGCGCAAACTCCATCATAAGTATCCGAACAACGATAACAGTGTCGATTTTTTCGCATCTAAATGCCCTGTAATATATCCGAAGGACAATTTAACGATGCATGGAGGTTCAGCTGGATATATCCAGCCACTGGCTTTCCTTCGGTGACATTCCAATCGCAAGAAGCTGCAGCTTGACGGGATCATACCAGAAGTACATGCAGGACTAGTGTAAAGACGTTATAGATGATACTCATCCCCCAAGGTTGTTTCTCGCACCAGGGAGTTAAGTTAAACTAGTGCATTATACTATATCGGGCAGTAGACCCTTATTAAGATAGCCAGTAGGATTGCCCCTATTCCGCCATCCACAGTATAGTACCTAGTTCAACCCTCGCCAATACCCTAATCTCGATAATCCTCTACTAAATCGATACTTAACATCCTTCTGGTAGCTTTCCATGCAGCACTATCACGCTAGGGCTAGGCAAAACCTGGGGGCATCCTTCTGGGTTACGCAGACGAAAACGGGACGAGGTAGCGGATGAGTCAGAGTCGACCACAGATGCAGCCACTGTCGCCACAAGGAGAGCATGCAGGGCGCAATCAATCTGAAGCGTCGCGGTAAGATGGACGTGAATAACTCGGCCTGCTTTGTCGGTCTCTCAAGGTTTCAACGAGGCAACGTCCAAGTGCCGAATCTACGATGTGCCAAGGGAACATATCTCGCATGATGTCACCTACTAGTTCCGAGCAGTGGTAGCTGGGTGGTAGTATGCCCTAGATATTTGCGTGTAGGAACTGATGCGCACATGAGAAAAAAAGGACAATGCTTGCAGCCACGTCGTCTAAGGTTCCCTCGCACGTTGTTTCCAGTAAACATGATTCCTGCTTTGCGATTGAAGGAAATTGACCTTTCACCTGTCCAGCCCCGAACCCAGCCGAGGCAAGCGAGCAGACATGTCATATATCAGATACGCGTGGCGTTCTCCAGATTGAAACCGGCGAGGAGGGGTCCTGGAGTAGATCACTAAGCGGCATGCTCTCGCAGAGCCTGTTCGGCACATGCAAAAGGACATTTCTAGAAAGAAAGGACGAGATATCCGACCACGCCTAGAACGATCCCGTACGGTCTACGGCACGCTCATCCTCGCCACATCCACACATCATACACACACCGAAGGATGGGAAAAATAGATGATCATATACCCGTAGCGATAGCACAGCAGTCAGCGCAAGACTATGCGAAGGGGGACACCGCGTCATTCTCTTATATGTCTGTCTATCTAAGGTAGCGTCAGAGGAATGGTAGATTGGCGGGCGTCCTCCAACCAGAAACGAAAGCAGCCAGATGATTCGAGATCGAGCACCGCGGGCCATGCGCCCACCCGAAGAACACGCATCATCCGCTTATGGTGGTAGGATGTGGTGGGCTGGGATTGGCCGCGAGACTCGGCGAAAATAAAGGGCTAAGGAGGGGGGGAAAATCAGATCAGAAAAGGCGCCCCCTCCTGCAAGATTGCATGGAGAAATCAGAGATCGGGTCGAGTTGCTCAGGCCGAGAGGGAAAAAAAAGTTAAATGAAACGACAGGTCTGTTTTTTTTGCTTCTCAATGCGTCGCTTGTGACTAGATTCAGAACAACCAGCTCGCTTGCTCGACGCCACCGCGGCCTAGATAGCAAAGTTTTTATAGGAGTACCTATCAACGGGTGATATATCAGTAAGAAGCTGTGTGATCTTCATGAATGATATGATAATGGAAAAAATTATTATCTTGTGTAGCTCTCGTCGCGATTGCGTATAGTGCATTCGGGGTTCGTTGGCTGATTGTCTCGGGGCGATGCGGTTGGCTGCATCTTTGCCGTGTTCTCCCTTGCTTAGCAGCTCGCTTCGAGGCACAAGCAGGATGACTCAAGGGAGTCCCGTGGCATGCAAGCAGTTCACAAGCTAGTAACAGCGTCACCGAGGATCATATTCTAAACTACGGGCCTACGGAAACGCATTTGCTCCTCATGAACGTGACAAAATAGTTGCAAATGCTATATTTCTCGTACGTACTTGCTACGTGGATATCCCGGGTCTCCATTAAGCGGGATCAACCGCATATGAGACGTCACATGAAAAGGCACATACTGTCTTTACCTAGGCTATACTTGTGATGCGCAATTAGGTCTTGATCTGTTCGAGAGCTAACTACATTGTACAGACGAAGGATCATTGGAGGATTATTTTCTCTTTTTCTTCCCCTCAAAGGGGCTCTGCTGCTAGAAGGCGATTAGCGACGCAGAATCTCTCAATAAGGCTGAAACGACTGTGCGCGATACAGTGTTGTCAGCATCTTACATAATTACCTCGGATGGTTGCACCGGTTGGATCAGGATGGGGACCCAGAGCCGGGCAAAGTTATCACGATGCATAAGATCGTGATCTGGGATGATCTAGGGGACTGGAATTATGGATATGTATATTATATTGGCCTGGGGTCATCAAATCCGTTTGTACCCTCTACATTCTCCCTACCTGGTCCCGGAAGCCGGTGTGCCATTAAAGGGGTAACCATGATTACCTTGCGATCCAGAAAATGCAAAGAGAAGGTATTGCCATTAATACCTAGCAAGTATGAAATATTCGCTATATTATAGCACCAGTCTAGGACTGAAGGAAGATAACCTTGCAGCGACACCCGCCAGCTAAACCACGAAGCTGGGGGAAAGGACAACATCATCGGCGACTATCTTCTAGGACTGGCATATTTTATTTACTAAGTAGAACCGTACAACCCGACATGCGGAACCGTGTGGTTGCGCCCATCTCTGATAAGTGGTCTTGTACCACATATAGTTCCTGGAAATAATAGTAGTGATTTGCAGGAGGTCTCGGTCCAGTTGACAGCGCACGATGTTCCTCGCTCTCGAACCGCTCAATTTCGTGGGAAGTGACAGGTAACAAATCTCCGCCGTAAAAAAACCCCTCGGTTAGGGAGTACACAACGTCAGAGACCGCCAACCCCCCCTAACCCCAGGACTTATTGGAAATATGTAGATATGGGTATTGGTAAGGGTATGGATGTGGGAACTAGGTAGATAGATGTGCTAATGCTAGGTACGTATGTCGGCATGTTGTAATAGCTGGAGGCAGTTACCTACCTATTACCTAGGCCATACTAGTGAACGATGTTCCGCGGAGTCGCTCTCGCTAGAGAAGAGTGCTAGAGAATATACGGCAGATGAAGAAAGGACTATTGTTTTGCCAGTCTCGCTTCGTTTTCGGAACCCTAACCCTAGGCGGAAAAATAAGAAGCCAACGATGTCGTGGCATAGGCAGCGATATTGCCTAGGTTGCTGGGTTAGTGAAGTCAGATCCTGCAATGCACCCATCTGGCGGCAGGAGGGAAAAGGTCCCGCGATCTTATTCATCATTTCCTTCAAGGACCAGGCCTCGAAATTGTCTGGCCTCAGTGGCCTGTACATGGTTTGGTGGGTTTCTGGTGGGCAGTTTGCCATAACCAATCCTTTCACCGGAGTTTGCTGCGCCAATAGTAGCTCGCCAATTCCATTACCCTGGGCTTTCAAAACTTTTAGAACCTATTTCCCCTCGCCGTGATAAGCATGTAGTGGGTAGAGTGGAACCCTTGGTGATCGCCGGGACCAAGCCACAGAGTTGCATTCTGAGTTTCCCGAGCGTCGCATTGGGAGAGGTCCTGGAGGTCCCGAGTCCCATCGGCGTTTAGGTAAGGGAAGTTCATGTGACATTCCCAGATTCATTTGGTCTTGGCTTGACGAGCTTGGCGGCGTAGAAAGATTGGATTCCCACCCCCTATCGAACATACATCCAAACATCCATACATAGTACACGCACTCACTTTACGCACAAGGCACAAGGACCACCTGGTTGCCTACTACCTGGGCAAAGACGCCGCCACCACTACCAGCCATTGCCTACCGACACATGTACGTATGCATTGTTAGTCCTAGCCCTAACTCCTAAACTTGCCTGTTTTGGTGATAGTCGTATGGTACTTTCAGCCTTTTTTTTTCTCATTACACCAATCCCAAGAATC